CCCCGCTCACCCGGGCAGGGGCGATGCCCCCGGTGCCCCCCGTGCCCCGCTCACCCGGGCAGGGGCGATGCCCCCGGTGTCCCCCGTGCCCCGCTCACCCGGGCAGGGACAATGCTCCCGGTGTCCCCCGGTGCCCCCCGTGCCCCGCTCACCCGGGCAGGGGCGATGCCCCCCGGCGCAGGGCGCAGACCCAGGCGCGCAGCTCCTCGGGGCTCTCAGCCCCCAGGCAGTACGTCCGCATGCCGGGATGTTCCGCCTGCGAATGGGGGATCCTCGGTGGACGGGGCTCAGGTGTCCGGCACCGGTCCCCCCACCCAGGGCGCCCCCGGATCCAGGGCTGACCGTGAAGAGGAACTGGGGGGCGCGGGGGGCGCGGGGGGCGGGGGGCAGGACGCGGATCTCGTAGCCGGGCAGGGGGAGGCCGCCCCGCACTTGCTGCTCGCTGCTGTCTGGGGGGCACAGGAGGGTCACAGTGGGGCTAGCCAGAGCCTCCATCTGCACCCCGAGGTCTCCAGCACCATCAGAGGGGCACCGGGAACCTCCTCTGAGTGCCAGTGGCTGCCCCCAAACCTCCTGAGGTCCCCCCAGAACTTAGAACCCCACCCAGGACCTCTTCAAAGCCCCAGAGCCCCTCGATCCTCCCAGAAACCCTGACCCAAACAAAGACCTCCAAATTCCCCAGGGACGCCCAACCCCCCAGGGATCCTTGACTCCCCCAGAGATCCCCAAATACCCCGGGSATCCCTGATCCCGCTGGGATCCTTGATCGCCCCAAGGACCTCCRGCACCCCAGGGACCCCCAATCCCCCAGGATTCCTGGTCCCCCAATGACTCCCCGACCCCCCAGGAAACCCTGAGCCCTCCAGGGAATCTCAGCACCCCAGGAGCTCTGATGCCCCCGGGAATCCCCAATGACCCAGGGAGGGATCACTGACCCCCAGGGACCCAGGCCCCCCCGGCCCCCCTCACCCCGGTAGTAGTAGAGGCAGAGATCCACCAGCACGAACCAGCGGCGCTTCCAGAGCCGCAGCCCGGAGCTGTCCTGGCGGGGAGTGCGGACAGGACGGGACGGGACAGGGGCTGACCCCCACCCGTCACTCGCCTCGGGACCCTCTGCTGCCCCAAACCCCTTCTGATCCCCCCAACATCATAACCCCCCGGGACTCCCTGCCGTGCCAGCCCCCCAAACCCCAAAATCACAGCACTCTCTTCCATCCCAGACCCCATAACCACCCCACACTGCCCTAGACAGAACAAGTATCTGTGATCTCCCCAAACCCCTTAATCCTCCCCCCGCAAGCCCCATATCCACCCCCAGGACCTCCTGATACTCCAGACCCCCAATCCTGTACACCCTCCAGTTTCTCCCCACCACCCCAGATCCCCCCCCGAATCCCCCTCCTCAAGCCCCATACACCCCCTGAACTCCCTCCCCGACCCTCCCCTGGCTCACCTGTTTGTAGAGCCAGCCCTGCATGGCAGGGGGAGTGCGGGGGTCCCTCCGCAGCGCCTGCCCCCCCTTTCCAAAGGCGTGGACCCTCGGCACGGGCCGGCAGGGCTGGGCAGGGGGGGTCACCCAGGGTGGGGGCCAAGGAAGGACCCCCCCCAGCGCCCTAACAGCCTCTCAGGCCGTCAGGGTCTCTACTAGCCCTCCTACCCCAATTTATGTTTGCACTGCACAATGCTCCCCAGCTCCACAGGGCTCCCCCCTTGTGCCCCATAAGTCCCTATGGAGTCTTGGGCCCCCCGCACCCCCAATGCTGCATCTGCCCCCCCTCAGGCTCCCCGGGTCCCCCATGCTCCCCCTTGCACCCCTCAATAGCTCCACATGGGCTTCCAGACCCTCTGAGCTCTCTTGGGTACCCCATAGCCCCCATGGCTCCCCATCCTCCCCCAACCCCCATAACCCCCCCATAGCTCCCCATGAGCCCCCCGCCCCCCCAACCCCTATAACCCCCTACACCCTGTACCCTGCAGTTCCCCCCCTGCCCCGCACCCCATCGCCCACCTGGGTCCGGGGGCCGGCGGGGGCGGGGTCCCGGCGGGCGGGGTGGTCGCTTTCTGCCATGGGGGGTCCTGCGGGGGCAACGGGGAGCGGGAGGGTCCCCATCAATGTCCCCATTGTCCCCGCGGGGACAGAGGCCCTGTTCTTCYCGCTGCGGGGGCGGGGGCTGCTCCCGGACGCCTGGGTCCCCCCGGGGGTGTCGCGGGCGCTTCTAGGCTCCCTCTGGTCCCTTCCCCCTCCTGCTCTTGCCGGGTTCAGGTCGGTCCCAGTGCTGGTTACCCAGTGCTGGTCGCAGTTCCCGTCCCAGTAACCCCGAACYGGTCCGTTTCCGTCCCGCTACCGCTGATCCAGTTTCTGCCTCTCTATCCCGGTGAAGGTCCCAATCTCCGTCCCAGCATCCCTAAACCTCTCCGTCCCAATTCCCCTCCCGTAACCCCCGTGCTGGTCCCACTTTCCGTCCCAGTAGCCCTAAACTGGTCCCAGTTCCCGTGATAGCAAYCCTGAGCTGATCCCAGTCCCATCCCGTTATTCCCGCTCAACACTCATGAACACTCAGCTTCCATTCCGGTAACTCTGAGTTCTGAAACAGAAACTCCGGTTTCTGTTTCTCTCCCCCTGCTCGTCCAGCTCCCATCCCGTTATCCCGATAAGGGTCGCAGTCCGGTCTCCTTGCCCTATTGGTGGGTCCCAGTCACCGTCCCATGGCCCCAGTGACGGTCCCAGTGACGATCCCAGTTCCATTACCGCAGCTGGTTCCGCTCGCAGCCCCGTCCCGTGTCCCGGTATCGGTGCCAGTCCCGTGTCCCGGTATCGGTGCCAGTCCCGTCCCGTGTCCCGGTATCGGTGCCAGTCCCGTCCCGTTACCCGCGCTGGTCCCAGCCGCAGTCCCGGTCCTGCCCCGTGTCCCCGCCCGCCCCGGGCGCTGGTCCCAGTCTCTGCCCCCACCCACAGCCGGGTCCCCCGGGGCCGCGTGGGTCCCCTCGCCCTGGCAACCATCGAGGGACAGCATCCCGTGTCCCGCGTCACCCAGGGAGCCCCGTCCTGCGGCACCGGGCACAGCCGTGACACGGAGCCACCCCACGGCAGCGGGGACACCGCACGGAGCTCACGGACCCACACATCTCAGGGATCCCTGACACCCCGGTGACCCCGACACCATGGGCACACCCCTGACACTGCACGGACTCCTGAGACCTCATGGACTCCGGACACTCCGGACACCCCGGGGACTCCGGACTCCCACTGACCGCAGACACTGATCCCCACTGACCCCGGACACCCCGGACATCTCCCGACCCCGGACACCCACTGAACCCGGACACCCAGGGACATCGCTGGACTCCGGACACCCCTGGCCGCCGTGTCCCCGTGTCCCCGTGTCCCCGTGTCCCCCCGCGCGGTCCTGGCGCCCGTCCCCTCACACGCCCGCGCCTGAAGCGCGCTCCGCCCGCCGCCAGGGGGCGACACCGCCACGCCACATCGCTTCCTCACACGGCGCTGAATGGCCCCGCCTCACCCCGCCCCCTTCCCTTGAGTGGCGTCTACTTTATCCAATCACAGCGGCTTTTGCTCCCGCTTCTCCAGTGYAGCTCCTTCTATTGGCTACACGGCGGGGAGGGGGCGGGCACTCCGTGCGGCAGGGCCAATGGCGCGGCGGGGGGCGGGGCCAGGCCGCCATGGCGCCGCCGCCGCGCTGACCGCGCCGCTCCGCCATGGCCGGGGCCATCGCGTCCCGCATGAGCTTCAGCTCCCTCAAGCGCAAGCAGCCCAAGACCTTCACCGTGCGCATCGCCACCATGGACGCCGAGATGGAGTTCAGCTGCGAGGTGACGGCCCGCGCGGGCGCGGGGCACGGGGGTCCCGCTGAGGGGGGACGGGCTCCCCCAAACACMCCCAAACCCTCTGAGGGGGCCCGGATCCCCTTCCCACTCCCYCCTAACCCTCCGCCGGTTCTCGGGGCCTGCCCATGGCCAAGAGCTGCTCAGGCTTCTTTTGGTTATAAATCAGCGTTATCCTGGTGTGATTTGGCGTGATTTTGTTTATAAATGGACTTTATTCTGGTTATAATTCGGCTTTGCTTTGGTTGTAATTTACCTTTGCTTTGGTTATAGTTCTGTGTAATTCGGYTTTGTTTTGGTCATAACTTGGCTTTATTTTGGTTGTAATTTAGTGTTATTGTGGGTGTAATTCAGTTTTATCCTGGTAATAGTTCGGCTTTACTTTGGTTATAATTCGGCCTTATTATGGGTGTAATTCAGCATTGTTTTGGTCATAAATTGGCTTTTTTTCTGTGTATGATTTAGTTTTATGCTGGTASAATTTGGAATTATTCTGATTATGATTCTATATTTTCTTTGGTTATAATTCACCTTTATTTTGGCTATAATTTATCTTTACCCCAGTGTAATTTAGCTTTATTTGGGTTATAATTTAGCTYAATTCTGTTTATAATTTGGTCTCTGTGGATATAATTTGGCATTATTCTGGTTATAATTCAGCCCGAACTTTGACTATAATTGAGCTTTATTCTAACTGTAATTCATYTTTATCCTGGTTATAATTCAGCTTTATTCTCATTACAATCCACCTTCGTTTGGGCTCTAATCCAGTGTTATCCTGCCATCCCTGCCCAAGCCACCACTACAGGGAGGCTGTCACAGGGCTCGAGGAATCTCAGTGTCAAGGCTTSAATCCACAGGAATCCCTTTCCCAAGTGCTCCACAAACACCCAAGGACAGAATTTTGGCATTTTCCTGARTTCTTAGCTCACCCTGAGATTGAGGGATGCTCCAGGGGATTTGGTCTGGCTTCTCCGTGATAATTTCCCTTTTTTGGGCCCTTGCAACTTGTAAAACATTCTCCCAGGGCGTTGCTGCCAAACCCCGGGATCTGCTCTGCTTTTCCTGCTTTTTCAGCTGATCTGGAGAGATTGGCCTTACAAACATTGAAACTGTCTCTCAACTTCTTTATTTTATACTTTTATTTTATTAATCTGACCCAAACCCTGACGGAATTCCAGTGCCCATCAGCCAAGGGGTGTTTGYCATCACTGATTTCTTTGAGCTGGAAATCTCTTGTCAGCCCTGAAGAACTTCCTGCTTTTCCTAGGAATTGAGGATTTACTGTCAGCAGCCTGTGAGCTTCCCACTTCCAGCAGAGTTGGGAGTGTCCTGGCTCTGTTTTTGCCTGATCTCCCGGGGCTGCAGCAGTAACTGATGATGGAAAGTAAATAATTATTCGTTTCGGTGTTGTGGTTGGGTGTCATTTCCCGTTGGGATCAGAGGGGTTTGTGCAGYGGTGAGGCAGCGCTCCCGTGGGATTTGACTGTGGAATTTGTGCATCTCCAGCTGACTTTTGTGGGAGGTTAGTGCCAGAATAACTTGTTGCAACTTCTGCAGCTGGAAGGAGCTCAGGAGTTCGAGTGTGGCCTTGCTGAGGGCTCCTGGCTCGTTTTGGAGCTGGTGTAGGAGGGATGGAGAGGGTATTCAGACCTCATCCTTCAGCACYAAGTGCTTGAGCAGGAAACAGGGAAAAGGGTTGGGTGCATGAGAGTGGTGGGGCTGTTTCATGCCTTGCAGGTGAGGGATGAGTTTTCATAGAATCATGGAATGGGTTGGGTGGGAAGGGACCTTAAAGCCCATCCAGTGCCACCCCCTGCCATGGGCAGGGACACCTCCCACTGTCCCAGGCTGCTCCCAGCCCCAATGTCCAGCCTGGCCTTGGGCACTGCCAGGGATCCAGGGGCAGCCACAGCTTCTCTGGGCACCCTGTGCCAGGGCCTGCCCACCCTCCCAGGGAACAATTCCTTCCCAATATCCCATCCATCCCTGCCCTCTGGCAGTGGGGAGCCATTCCCTGTGTCCTGTCCCTCCATCCCTTGTCCCCAGTCCCTCTCCAGCTCTCCTGGAGCTCCTTTAGGCCCTGAAAGGGGCTCTGAGCTCTCCCTGGATCCTTCTCTTCTCCAGGTGAGCACCCCCAGCTCTCCCAGCCTGGCTCCAGAGCAGAGGGACTCCATCCTTTGGAGCAGCTCCATGATCTCCTCYGAACTTGCTTCAAGCTCAGGGCAGCCCAGTTGAGGTGTGAGTTTTATCCAAGCTTTATCCAAGCAGTCCAGCTCCCTGGCTGGATCCCTGTCCCTGTTTTTGTGTCATACTTGTGAGGCTCTGGGGAAAGCTCCTTGWTTTGCTGACTCTGCAGAAACATCCAGGGACAGATGGATCGGACACACCTCGAGTCACTGGGATTGGGAAGGTGGCCCAGGCTTGGTCCACACCCACGGTGACAGCTGGAGGCAGGAGTGGAGTTTGTGCCCTCYTGAAAGGCAATGGGGTGGGAGAATTGATTTTGCTCCTCCCTGGAGAAGTCCAGCCCCTCTAGCAAAGTTTGCTGTAGAAGAGCCAGCAACACTATGTTTAGTGTGCTTTGAGGTGTCTTTGGCCAGGAGGGAGAGGGAAACCTTCCTTACAAACACTTCAGGGCATCAGTGGAAGGAGGTGCAGTGGGAATCCTGCCATTTGGGGGACTCTTGGGATGTGTTTTGGTGGCCTGTGAGTGGCACCTCGTGCTGACAGGAGCAGAGAGCTGCTGACCTGTTGGATGTCTGGAGTTGGTCTTCCATGATCCCTGGGAGTCCCTTCCAGCACAGGATAGTCCATAATTTTGTGACCCAGCTGTAGCTGCTGGAGACTCACCTTCTTTTTCAGTGTTCATTTTTCAGTCTGCTCTCTAGAAATTCCCAGCTGTGCATTTTAAGGGATTAAACCTGCTTTGCATCTGTTTATTCTGCATTTGATGTCTCTAAATTGAGCCTAAATCTAAAATAATTCCTAGAAATGAAATCTTAATCTTTCTAACATGGCGATGRAGATTAATAATCACGGCTGGGGCTTCACTTTAAAGACTTCAAATTTGTTTGGGGAAATTGTGGAGGCACGAAGCGAGTGTCTTCCTTTTGTTACCTCCATCACAGAGGTTTGAGCCGAACYTAATTAACTGATAACATCTGGAGGAAGGGTAGAATTTGCATAGCWCTTCAATCCCAGTGCTAAAGCAATCCCAGCTGCCTTACCTTCCTGAGAACCTCCGATAGCCACATGGGAGCCTCTTCCCTGGGAGGGTGGGCAGGCCCTGGCACAGGGTGCCCAGAGAAGCTGTGGCTGCCCCTGGATCCCTGGAAGTGTCCAAGGCCAGGCTGGACATTGGGGCTTGGAGCAGCCTGGGACAGTGGAARGTGTTCCTGGATGGACTTTAAGGCCCCTTCCCACCCAAACCATTTCACCATTCCATGATTCATTCAATAACTAAAACCCCATCGTATTTTTAAGTCCTTAATCCAAGGAATTGTTTGTCTTATCTCTCTGGAGGGATGGCAGAGGTGTGGTGCAGCAGGTGTCAGGCTGGTCTCACCCACTCCCATGTGCAGTTTTTTCCCTCTGAGAACTTCCTGGCGGATAGGAAAGCCCATGCAGCGATGTCTTCACCCATTTCTTCCTCTTGCAGTGCTTAGCCCCATTAGTGTCYCTCCATCTCAGAGCCATAGCCCGTTTTCCAAAGGAAAAGTATTTTTTTTTAGTCCTTTCTGTTCTGTCTGTGATCTTGGCCTTGAAACATGCAGGATGGTCACTCCATCAAGGTGCAGCTGCTTCCCAACCTTAATCCTTTGGCRTCTTAAAAACAAATTGGAAAAGCTTTACAGCCAGCCTGGAGTAASAGCTTAAGTGTTCAAGCAGCGAGAAGAGGCAAGTTTGTGCTGATGTATTTGCTGGTCTAAACATGCATTCTGTTATTGCTTCAGTGCTTAAGCTGTTCCTCTSTGTCCAGAGGATAATCCTGGGTGGAAGGGATCTTTATTTTAGCCCAGTGCCCCAGTCGGTGCAGAGCCAGTTGGATGAGGTTGGTTGTAAAGCCCTTGTAAGCAGAGTCCCGATTTCGGCCACGTGCAGCTGAGTGCTGTCCCTTTGTCACCAGACACAGGCAGTTGTGTAGCTGAGCTGCAAAGCTTATCCTGTGGAACAGGAACAACTGAGGATTTGGGGGTGGAAATCGGGGTGGAAATGAGTTTTTGAGGAAGAGCTGGTGCAGTAAATCCAAGCTCTTTTGAGCTCTGTCCAGTCACTGCACCAAAATAAAAAGGCAAAAGGAGGAAATAAGGGAGTAGAATTCCCTTAGTTTCCTTCTGCATTGCAGGATCCTTGGAAGGGGTATATAAAGATCCACACATTCCCAGTTTCAGGCAGCAGCTTGTGCTGCTGGTAGGGGCAGTGACCTCTTGGTGCCGTGAAACTTCTGTGARCAGGCACAAATTTAACAGGAAAAGACCAGTCTGTGTGCAGGAACAGCTATGTAAAAAAGCTGAGAGAAACAACCCCCCTCAGCTACAACGTGATCCTCAATAAATTGTTGGGATACCAGCTGTCAAGTCAATATTTCGTTCCTCCATGTGCCCGCGTGTCCTGAGCCTGCTCCAGCACTCAGGAGCACGTGCTGCTCTCTGTAAATCTCAGACACAGCAGGTAAGGGCTGTTTCCTCTTTCATGTCTTGGAGGGTTTAATGCCTCAAATCCTCAGAATTTCTGATTCACACCAATGTTGTCTGAGAGTTAATGTGGAGGTGTTTTGGTGCTGTTCATGCCTTTAAACTGTGCATGTGACTTACAGACATGGGTCTTCATTGTCTTTACTGCCTCACCCTGCACCTGAAAAGTTTTCTGGGCCCTCTGTTCCCATCACAGCCTCTTCTAAGCCAGCTGGAAATTCCTATTACTTYTCTCCTAAGACTGTTCAAAACTGCTGTCAATCCCCAGACTCTGTTAATTAATCCAGAGGT